AGCACGGCAAATTATTCGGGGTCTGGGAAGCCTCGTATTTACATGAAATACCGGATCTGTTTAGATACCGTATTTCTTGGGCCTCGTATTTTGCCTCGTGTGAACACTAAATACCGGATTTCTTGCTACGTGTGAACGCGGCTTGTATCTCTCTCTTTCTCGGGCGCTATATATATATATAACATATGTATATATATGTATATATACCATGGTACACATATATTGATAACCACATTTTTATAGTAAGTTTCCTGTATAAAGGTGCTTGTTCCAGGGTCCACAATAATCTGGGTATAGCTATGGATAATTGTAAAACTGCAAATAAATATTTTTTCTATATTGAAAGTATTGTTAATTTCTTTCTTTTGGTGGTTGACCTCAATTTTGTTAACCCAAAATATATTTCATATTCAAAATTAGGTAATAAATATATGATTACATATGTTGTCATAAGTGTAAGATATTACATAAAACTTGATTGCAAATTTCCTGTAAGTCTTACACACATATTTAACAAATGGATTTAACAAATTGCATATGATGTGAAAATTAACTTGAGTTACTAGCATTTATCTAAATGAACAACTGATACGTATGTAATAAATTTATATATTTATTTTACATACATTTAATAATTTATAGCTCATGACCCTTGAAAATCCTGCAACTCTGACCTATTCACACGCAGCAGCAAATATTTGGTATATAATATTACTTCATACATACAATGATTTATGCCCATTGCGATAGTATAATTGATCTACTATTATATTAAAAATATCAGGCAAGCGCGTGTCACTGAGAGCAAGAAGCACGAGGATGTAACCCATTTTGTATAGAAAACCTTCCCGTTTACTTTTAGCTTATTAAAGCAAAGTTTGAACGAACAATTGTTAGCAGTACTTGCTAAATAATTAATTATTGGGCTTTTGTTCTTGATAAATTACTTTACGCGTGTGCCGATTGGTTATAATATTTTCTCTCGATCACTCGATGTCTGCTCTTAATCAATCTGTCAATCACGACGAAACACAAGAACAGCTGTGGGGGCAGCACCGTTCAGAAACAAAATTCGCAGAGTAGAAAATTTGTCTTTTTCTGTGATTTCTCGTATAAGTCATGTCCAACGAAGGGCTAAAAGTAAAGGTGGATAATAATAGTGAAAATATAGATGCACTACAACGAGAAGTGGAGTCATTGAAGACGAAACTAGAAGAGGAACGACTAAAACTCAACGATGTCACACGTAAGAGTTCCAATCCAAACACTGCTCACTACCCTAGGCTAAACTATAAGCATAGTATAGATTTCAGTTTTATAATCACACAGGACTCGTTAAAAACACAAAATTAAACATATCCTTGACGAAATTGTGTGCGGTGAATCTAGTGTACCACCAAATATAGCTTTAACGCGTTAGAATTCTAGTACACTTTGACTTTATGCAACATATATCTAAAAATGAGGTTCAATGATAGAGAACATGGGTCTCAATAAAACCAATGTAATTTACATCAATATAAATATAATATTACATCAATATAATAGGTTAGGGTTATGGTTAGGGTTAGGATTAGGGTTAGGATTAGGGTTAGAGTTAGGGTTAGGGTTAGGTTTAGGCACATTGGTTTTATTGGGACCCATGTTCTCTATCCTTGGGCCAAAAATGATGCACACACCTACATGTATCACAGAATGATACACAGATTTGCGTGTGTAATAAAACAAGACTTTCCGTATTGCGTGTTTGGTCGTATATTCCTGTGATACACGTTATTCTGAGGATCATTCCATGATGCGTCACTATGCACAAGATGGTGTAACTTTACGCACACCGTTATTTAGAAAAGAATGTTAATCTGCACCTCATTGTGATACAACGTAATAATTCTTGGTATCATTTCATGGTGCATTACTAAGTATTAGGTGTACTGTACTCTGACTTGAAACAAGTAAATCTGGTCACCAAGTCATGATACATGTATTTATAGCATCATTTTTAGATCCGTAAGCTGTATAGAATGTATTTGCATCGACAATATACATTTGTTTAGTTTGGTACTCGACATAACTTTGTTTTCCTGTTCATGCTTGTTTATATTATGAAGAAATCATCTGGGTGGTTATATACCATAGCTGTGTGATCAGGTAACATAAGCTAAGGTAAGGACTGTAAAAATTCTTATAAGAAAATTAGTGGGTACAGTTTAGATAATTGTTTATTAAAATTGTACCAGTATTTGTATTCACCACAGCCTGGCTACAAAGATATTTAAAAAATAAGTTTGGGCATGAAAACGTTGAAATGCACAGAGATAGGTATAGATTGTTTCTAAATTTCAAAAAAAATGTTTGTATTTGAAATGGAGATTACTTTTGTTTGTATGTGTATATATGTAGGTGAAGCAAATGGCTATGCATTGCCTCTTTATTTACTTGATCAATGAGTAATTTATTCTAGACAGTATTAGGAATTTTAGCAGGTTCTGCTGTGTTGTCATAATTGAAAAAAAACGCAGCTACAGTATATTATGCGAACTCCATTGAAATTATAATCTGTATTTATTTACACTATTATCTTGTATCTTAATTAGATTAAGGGTAAAATAACTTATATACGTCAGGGGTTGAAATAAGCGATGGTCCGATGGTCCGATGGTCCAGGGCCATCAAATAATCAGGAGGACCATCAGATTTTCAAAGTCAATGGTCCGACAGACCATTGAATATTTTGGTCCCATTTTATGGTAAATTTCTTGCACGCCGCATTACTTTTAGAGAACAATTTGAAATTTAGGAGGACCATCTAAATTTCAAACTAGATGGTCCTGTGGACCATCTCTTTTTTTCTCCTTATTTCTACCCCTGTAGTGTACTTAGTGGGTAATAGTTAAGTTCATAAATCATAATGAAATAATATAATAATATGTTATATGTATTGTAATACAATGTAATGCAATGCAATGTAATACAATACACCATAATACTGTACAATACAATGCAATAAATTATAGTGCAATACAATATAATATGAATATAATTACATCCTTGATTAAGTATTAAAAGTTGGTGAACATATATATACATCACTATAACTTGTGTATAATATTTTCTATTAAGTAGGTGTGCTGTCAAATCTCTCCGATTCATGCTTTTGTTTATTTAGATTGCTAAATTTTCCGCCTCACTTTACCACTCTAACATGTAGGGCCTACTTGTCCACTCTGTGATACCAATTCCCAGTAGTTGCACTGTCCACATGTTAGGCATCCTTGCCATTTGTCATCCATATTCTTACCATCCTCATTGAAGATTCTGTCATTTGATACAGTGAAGGTGGTCAGTGCCATAGTGCCTTATATCCTCAGTCATCATTTACTAAAGTCTGACCGGTGCTGGTGTTATAGGTATGTTCCTACCTACAGCATCATTTTAGTGCAATCTCACTTAGTGCATTCATCATTGGTATGTATTTGGACACCCGTGTGTCCTTACCCTGGTATGGTGTGTAATTTTTGTGCCACCCTTGATCCCACATGTTTTTGTTTCAGTGCCAGACGTGGCCGGGAGGCTAGAATCAATACCCAGTCTGAACATTAAGGTGCGGCGTGTTCTGAAGGGCCACCAAGGCAAGGTCCTCGCGATGGACTGGAGTCAGGACAAGCGTCACATAGTTAGCTCTTCGCAGGTGAGTGTTGTATTGATACAACTACTACGGTACCTCTTCAAATAAGTTCATAGTTTCACGGTGATATTCTGTGATGTCATTTCATGATAGATATAATACCCCCGTCAGACTGGACGGCGACCATCCGCGACCGTACGGCGACCAGAAAATGTACAAGGTCGCCGGCAAACGTTAACACAATGCGAGAAAAAGTCCCAACAAATTACAAACTTGAAAAAAAACCGCGCTCTTACCACTGCCTATGCGATCATACCACGTTCTCACGGCGCGCCTGCCATGACCTCTCCGCGCTTATGGCGTTTCTATTGAGATCTATGGGCTTGGCAACGGCGATCACCGGCGTTCCCGCGGCGCTCTCACCACGCTCATGGGGTTCTTACCACACGTCTTCTACGTGTATCGCGACTGCACGGCGATCTCACGGCGTTTCTACCACGTTCTCACGGCGACTATATAAGCTGGTCAGATTTTCGGAAATTTCAACTGTATAGTTGTGCGTTTGCTGAGTAGAAACACGATGCCGAAGAAACAAGCTACCAGAGGCCGAGGCCGGGGCCGTGGCCGAGACAGATCGGCATGAAACAGATCGGCAGATCGGATGAGACAGATCCATGAAGTCGCCGTTGCAAAAATGTTACCATTTTCGCAGCGTCTTTGCCACGCGTATACTGCGCGTGTACTACGTTTATAGAGATGTTACGATGCTTGTCTCACGACCTTCGCGACCCCACCGCGTTCTCACCGCGTTCCAGGTCAGATCGCCGAACCTTCGCGTTTGTTTTGAACATGCTCAAAACAAACGCCGTGACTCGGCGATCATTGGCGACCATGGCGACCACAGCACGATGTCTGGCGTTTCCACGCTTATACCACGCTTATGGCGACCTTGCCGCGCTTTGGGCCCATTTTCCGTTGCCGTAGCAGCGCAGTAAGGACGCCACCCTGGTCTGACGGGGGTATAACTATAAGCAATAAAGCATATATATACTATGCTTGGATTTATTGTTAATCGAAATTGCGCATACTGCTACCTTACATCTTCTAGTGCACGAGATAAGTTCCTGAAGCCACTTCACTAACGAACATGTCTGTTTAATGAGATCATTATAATATATGAGTTGGGGCTCACACGTGATCAGTGTCAGTATGGTAAGCTAGAGAGTTATGCTTGTAAACATTATTGGTACTTTTCTCTCTCTAATGTTTTGATTGAGTTTTGTCTTGAATGATATTATACTCATTACTGCGTACGTAATGTATGTATAGCTAGCCTAATAGTCGATGTGTTAATCCTCTTTTAATATTATGAGTCAGTCCTATAGCATAGTACAAATTTCCTAGTGTAGTAATCTGTAAAGCATCTGATTTACGCATAAATAAGTAGATTGCAGCCATAACAAGTCCAATGGACCTCTTTCATCACATTCAATAACAAGTATCTCTGGATTTTGGCTGTTAAAAACTTTCAATACAAAATTCTACAGTTTACATCTTACATATATATATATATATACGTAAATAAACCTGAATGCCTACAGTGAATTAGATGCTTACAATTGCATCTAGAGTCGAGATAGTGTAGTGGCAAGAGCCGAGTCAGATTACACTTCTACAACACAACGTCTGACGTACTGTAACTGGACTATCTCATTAGAAAGTCTAGTAGTCTACAAGTGCGCAGTACGTAATCGGGGGGTGAATTTTGCATCCAGCAGGGTTGCATTCACATCGATTCGGATCTCAATCCAGAAAACATTCGGTGATACCAAATACTTTTGTGCTCACGATCTAGATCAAATATTGTCATAACTCATAGTGAGTGTCGAATGGAAGCTTGCCTGATCGTGATTGGCTAGTTCAGTCATTCGTTTCCAATACACGATCCGTCGATGCTGAGTTCGTGAGGTAGGGCGCTCTGGTTGGGCTAGCCCCTGATAGCACGATGTAAGCAAAACGCGCACCCTGGATAACGCACCTGCTAGGATGTGACTAGAGCTGATTCCATGAGTTTTTTGTTTTTGATTTGTTGTATTACGTTGCAGTAACCAAATTTGGCATCAAGGCAATGGAAGTTTAAAACGAGTTAACTTTTCCACACTCTATATTTGCTTAGTGCTAAGCAGAGAAGCAGTGTGTACCATTTTTCAAGTCTTTGGTATGACCCGGTCGGGAGTAGAATACAATAAGGGTTTGTTTGAAAGACATAGGTTTTGGGCTGCTAGAAATACCTAGGATTAAGGTTGTTAGAAGTACCTAGTTTTAGTGTTGCTAGATATGTTTAGCATTGTTAGAAATATTTTGAATTAGAGTTGTTAGGTATGTAAAGATTTAAGTTTGTTAGAAACGCATGGGCTAGGCCGCTAGGGTTGTTAAAAATTCACATTTTTCTATGCTTTCAGGTTATGGGGCCACTGCAGATGTCTTTTAGCTTATTTATGTGATTTGACATGATCTTCTATTGCATTTATTCTGCCTGTGTTTTGATGGCCATACTTGTGTACTTGCAGGATGGAAAGATGATTGTTTGGGACGCATTCACAACTAACAAAGAGCATGCTATAGCAATGCCAACCACTTGGGTGATGGCATGCTCGTATGCCCCCTCTGGCACTCTTGTCGCCTGTGGGTGAGTAGTAGCACTAGTAATAATTATTAGCTAGCTCATGTAAAATGAAACGTACTGACGAACTGTCAGCGAATATACGATCTGTCTCTCTTTGTTTCTATCACAGCGTGGCACCCAGCCATGTACACCTGACACACTATCTTATTTCTGCCTGGAGTGGCTGACTGTGATGACATATTATTATATGATGACATATATATATATACTACGTGATGGCTTCATTGCTGTCCAGGTGGTTTACTTCACACATTACAAACATTGTTTTTTCGATCTGTGTACACGTAGAAATTTTGTTTCTCACGAACAAAGCATCTCATCTCTTACATGTGTTTGCAGCGGCCTGGACAACAAGTGCACGGTATATCCACTTAGCTTTGATGAAGACGTGACAGCAAAGAAGCGACCTGTTGCAACTCACACCAGCTATATGTCATGCTGCAAGTTCACCAACTCTGATCAACAAGTCAGTACCAGTCAATGATTCACTGATCTCGTTAAGATTGTTTCCTTGTTAATGATGTGCGAGCAAATGCTTTTCTTTCGGACGCCCTGTTTATACATTGTAACGCCCTGTCTTATTAAAGTGGTTAAGACTAGCTCCTAGATATTCCCCGCTGCCACAGTAAGTTATTCTGGGGCCAAAAACACGTTCAGCTCCCCTTATCGTTGTGATCTCAGCTCCTCTCTCTTTCGCTCTCTCTCTCTCTCTCTCGCTTTCTCTCTCTCTCTCTATCTCTCCCTGTCTCTTTCTCTCTATCTCTTTTGCTCTCTTTCTCTCTCACTCCCTCCCTCCCCTCCTTTCCTCTCTTCATCCCTCATACCCTCCCTTGTTCCTTCCCTCCACCCCTTTTCTCTCTCTCTCTCCCTCTCTCCCTCTCTTTCTCTCTCTTGCTCTCACTCTATCTTCCTCTCTCTCTCTCTCTCTCTCTCTCTCTCTCTCTCTCTCTCTCTGTGTACTCTCTCTCTCTCTCTCTCTCTCTCTCTCTCTCTCTCTCTCTCTCTCTCTCTCTCTCTCTGTGTAATGTTCCAAACTTTGATCCATTAGCCAGCATTTGTCTTCCGTAACCACACTCAACCTAATATCTGCACACACACTCGTTAGATAGATAGCCAGGGATTGAAGTTAATGGATGCATGGATGCACCAGTTTACTCAAACATTTACTTGTGTGCATGATAGTGCTTTACGTTGCACCGAAAATATTTGTGCAGTGATATTGCTTAAAAGCAATGTTATAGGTAGGTGAGTGAAAATAGTCCATTCACAAAATACTTTTGTCGTCCAATCACAAAATACTTTTATCGTGCAATCAGAAATTGTGACGGCACGGCAAGTTTTAAAAATGCGTTTTGAAAAAGAGAAAAATTTTGACCCGCCGATGCTCTATTGTTTGCTCTCGCAGATTCTCACGGGCAGCGGCGACAGCACGTGCGCCCTCTGGGATGTTGAGAGTGGGCAGCTGATGCAGAGCTTTCACAACCACACGGCCGATGTGATGTCTATCGACCTGTCTCCCTCTGAAACGGGAAACACCTTCGTGTCTGGGGTGAGTGTAGCCTAGCGCCATTATACAAGCTGGTCTTCAGACTCCAACTAAGGTTGGGGGGTAATGACGGCCAGTGAAACGTACGGGTAGATATTATCTACAGTTGTTTGGCTGTATAAGTTAATGTTAAAGTCAGTATAAAGCTATGTGTTGCAAGTTTCTGCTCCGTATTTCTCGCCTGCGTACCCAGCGCGTGGTAGCGAGTAGCGTTTGTTAGCCGTGTGCTGTTGTTTGCGTTACAGGGATGTGACAAGATGGCGATGATATGGGACATGAGGACAGGAGACTGTGTGCAGAAGTTTGACGGCCACGATGCTGATATCAACACTGTCAAATTTTACCCGAGCGGTGACGCTTTCGCCTCCGGGTCCGACGACGGAACTGTGAGTCTGGATACATGGCGCCATCTATGAGCACGAACGTTCAAAAATGTTTTCCATGTTTTTTCTGAGGCTGTTTATGGATAGATAGTATAATATATATATATAGCTATAAGCGTTTGGTAACAAACTACAGTTGTTTTAGCTGAGTATTTCTGGATCGTTATTATCCGTCAGTAATTTGCAGATGGGCAAGAATTTTATTTGGAGATCTGATTAGTTGCAGTTGTCATGGGCATGTAGGAAAATGCCGTATGAACGCACGTTAAGTGTTGTACCACATGTTTTGCTGATCTGCTAATCGTGATCCCGTAACATTGTGTGCACAAGTGTTTGTGCCACAGTGTTATTAGTAAATTGTTTCCTTGATTATAATTAATGGATTTTATTATTAATATTTGTTAGTAAGCGGCTACCGTTCATGTGTGTTTGACATGTGTTCTATGTTTTCTCTCTGTAGTGTTGTCTTTACGACCTGAGGGCGGACAAAGAAGTGAACTGCTACACCAAGCAGAGTATAATATTTGGCGTCAATGCTGTAGACTTTTCAGTTAGTGGTGAGTAGCAGCCTGTTGGTGAACACACCAACGGGAATAGCTGTAGGAAACAGCACCCTGTGCTCAGTGAGTGCAGGTGTTTTTGTATAATTTCTACAAAACAGATCAACCAATTGGGTGACAACAGATCGTTCACTGGTTTTTATAACAGTGTCAAGATTTTTCATTGTTCAAACAATGGCCATTGTTAGTATCTTATGATTATCTTACAGTTATCTCACAAACATTGTTCCTACGATGGCCATTGTTATTACCTTGTGATTACCTCATAGTTATCTTGCAAATATTGTTCAGACGATGGCCATTGTTAATACCTAATGATTACGCCACAGTTACCTAGCAAACATTCTTAACATTGACGGCCATTGTTATTTTAATTACTTATCCTTTTCGTCCCCCGATGGGACATAAGGCCGTGCAACATTCGGATCCACTGTTTGGGTTTTTCGATTCGTTTTGGTTTCCGTAACAAAGTGTTTTTTACAGAATCGGGTCATTGACCCCATGTCTAAGTTCATTTATAACAGTGTCAAGATTTTTCATTGTTTAAACGATTGCCATTGCTAGTACTTTATGATTATCTTACAGTTACCTCACAAACATTGTTCCTACAGTGACCGTTGTTATTACCTTGCGATAACCTCACAGTTACCTAGCAAACATTGTAGAGACGATGTGCATTACCTTGTAGGGCGGCTGTTGTTCTCCGGATACAATGATTACACAGTCAACGTGTGGGATACCCTGAAAGGAAACAGGATCTGCATTCTGTACAGTCACGAGAATAGAGTGAGTTGTCTCGGAATGTCACCAGATGGTACTTGTCTATGCACGGGCAGTTGGGACTTCACACTCAGGGTAAGTCAGTTTTAGTTACAGGCATGCGAACGCAACACACTCACGCGCATGCGCACGCACTCACGCGTGCACGCACACATTAAAAGTGTTGTAGGTTAAGGTTCACTGGAAATATTTTATTACGATTTTTTATTTAAATACACGCCTTCTAGTTTTTGGCTTAGAACCCAGAAATCTTATATTCCCCTATTATCTACAGAATTTATTGCATAAGAGTTGGAATGAATTTTCTATTGCTAGTGCTTATTTCTTTGTGCTCAAACTTGGTATTATTGAATTACAATGCCTAGCTAACACAATACCTATTTATTTAAACATGATTTTTTTTGGCAGATTTGGGCATAACACTACAGAATAGACTACGCCAATGGCGGGAACAAGGAATCCCCATGCACAGGTGCAATTTATAGACCCGTCATTGTCTATAATTGATTAAATGTGTCAGCACAGGTTTAGCAAACTCAGCCATGTGTCAGCATTAGCTACTTTTTGAACACAAAAGTATTATTAAATGTACATGTATATTATTAGCTTGATTCTGAGAGAGATAGATAGAGGGAGAGCTAACTAGTGAGAGAGGGAGTGGTAAACCTTGCACTGCCTAGAGGCTGATTTGCACTGCTCTTCCAACAAGCGAAACGAACACTGGTAACAATGTCAAGCGCTTTACGTCGGGCGACACGTCTTGTGTAACACATTTGTCTTGTGTGTGAGCTACGCTGCTGCTGTCTCTGTGTGTGACGCATATGTTGGGAATCAACTACTTTGGTGTGTTTGTTACACCATTGCTCTGCTCATGGCTTTACCAGCGTTCTGCTTCGTATCCTGATTAAACAGGAGACGTTATGAGTCCTTGATGGACCACCAAGGACGCATCTGTTAGTGGAAGTTTTCTGTATGCTACAGAAGCTGGTCAGAGTTTCCCTGGTATGTGCTGCCACCTAGTGGTGAAAATTGCAAGTATCGCGTGTTTTTTCGACCATGTTTCGTGACGCATTTGATAACAGTTTGGTAGCAAAATCAGATGATAATTTTCATCATCATATACCTTTCGCCACTTAGTGGCAGGCCATGGAAGCAGGTGCTTCCAGTTACAGTGACATCTTTAGCCACGATGTTCCAGCGAAAATTCTAGTCTTCCTATGGAATGAGGTTTATTATCGATATTCCAGGTTTTTTGCCTGAGATTCTATGATTGATCATGTAGCTGTGTACAATAACCCCAGAGCTAAGAATTTATGCGTTTTTTCTCAGTAAAATTTAGCCACGACCGTGCGTACATTGGCAGCAGCAGCCTGTTAGCTCGTGTGTGCGTGTGTGTGTCCGTGTGCAGACGCAATTAGCTGACACTGTACCAGGTAGTTACCTACACCTTCTAACTCGATTTATTAGAGTTTTAATCTCACATCGGTCTAGTCACTGGTTTTGTACATGCGTCGTTGTATAGTTTAGCTGGAGTGTGGCAGGGGCTGTCTGGCACAATCTAGTATATATATGTGCTTGAACACTCTCCCTCACTTCTAAGAATCCCCTCCTGTTGAATATAATATCAGCGTGCATTTAGGAATCGTTAGTAAACTGTTGATTTTCGGGTATTAGCTTTGATTGTAACGATATGGCGAGAGCGCGAGAGAGGAATCGAGTGATGAGAGAGGGGTGAGTGCATGGATAGGTGCACATACTACGTTACGTGCTGCCGTATAGGAACTAGATTTTGTTTTACTTCTTGTTGAAGTACTCTGTGTTTTCTGCTGCCCTGCTGCTTAACTCTCCCACCCACCAATATGCGTCTTTCTCTGGCATATCTCCATTCCTACCCCGTTCCTCGTACTATGTACTACTGTCATACTTCCTCGTCCCCCTGTGAATTCTTGATATATGTTTACTCTCTGTATCCTCTCTCTAGCCGCCCTGTTCTATGCCACAGCTTGCGTTCTTGGATGTGGCAGGTTTCGTAATCATCCTACACCCACCCTATCATCCTATCCCTGTGCTTTTCTCCAATTTATCCTGCTCTCTACTCCCTCCCCTACGCCATCTCTATCTTACGTATCCTCCACCCTCCCTAACGTGATCATCACGGACACTTCACGTCTCCCACACATCGTGCTCTTCACCTTCCCTCGCCCCTTCTTATCTCACACTTCGTCCACCCTTCTCCCATTCCTTCGACTATTCGGCCAACACTCCTATGCATTACGATGAGATAGTGTCTCTGTAGATAGAGAGAGAGAGGGAGCGACGTTTCGGTTGTTGTTGATGTTGTTGGGTGGAAGCGTTGCTATGGGGTGCTGACGGCCGGCACATCCCCGCTCCTCGCGTATTTTTCTCTGGACTGTCGACGGCAACGATGATTTGCGCAGCGGCAGCGGCGGACGCAGGCGGGCGGACGCGCCGACGAGAGACTGTACAGTACGTGTTGCTATGTTGTCGCGCCGCGGCTCGCTAGGTGCAGGGAAGCTAGGCGCCTCGCTGTCCGCCCACTCTCCCTCGTAGCTGAACGCGTTCCATCGGTTCGTCAAACGATGGTGGCGCCACGGAGAGCAGTGTTCCGGCGATGGGGGTTAACGGTGTTTGTTTTGTTGCCACGGGAAGTGGCGGGGGGTCTCGCGAGATCGCGCATGCGGTTAGCGAAACCAGCGAGGACACACCCGGGGGAACGGGGGGGGGGGCGAGCCTGGAATCGTGAGGCAGGCTGGAATCATGTGTAGGTGTGTGATCTTTTATTTTAGCAGTTTTCCAATCGTGACACAAATCCCCTAGCTAGTCCGAGTATCCGCAGCCCCTCGCTGGAATCGTGGTTTCTGTGATTCACTCTAGGTGGCAGCTAGGGAGCGAGAGTTGTGGGCGGTCGCGTGTGTACATATATATCTACCCTGCATCTATAGATTGGCGGTCATGTGCAGTGCAATTTTTAAGACCAAAGACGTATTTTAGGGTTATTTATTCATGTATGTGCTATTTACTTGTTAGGGTATTTATTTATATTTAAACATCCATTGTTATTTACAGACATCTACATGTATGTATACACTTTGCAAATGTGTGCGCGTGCACGCATGCGCACATGTGTATGAGCGCTAGCGTGAGATTAAGAGTGTGAGTGATAAAAAGCAGAAATACAAGAGCAAACGAAAATGTGCGAGAGAGTGCAAGTGTGTGCGTGTGTGTGTGTGTGTGTCTGAGAGAGAGAGGTGAGAGAGGGAGGATTGAGTGAGAGAGATTGAGTGCAAGAGTGAGTGAGAGGTAGCGAAGGGGAGAGAGAGAGACATCGAGGCTATTGGGCCTTCAGTACAGACGTGGTTAGATCGAGTGAGAAGTTCCACCTAGTATACAGAACAGTTACGTACATCTATCGTGATACTGGCTTTGACCAATACTGCGGCAGTGCTTGTTAGAGCCTACCTGTTACAGATGCTGCCAAACACGTGACAGGTGCTGCCGATCACGTGACAGGTGCTGCCGATCACGTGACGGGTGCTGCTGATCACGTGACAGGTGCAGCCTATCACGTGAGAGCTGCAGCCGATCACGTGACTGGTGCAACCGATCACGTGACCATTGCAGCCGATCACGTGACGGGTGCAGCCGGTCACGTGAGGGTGCCGCCTATCACCGTGTGGCGGCTTTCGTTATTCACCTGCCGAGGAGAATTTGTTAGGCACGTGCGGTTTTTCACACAACGTCGTCGTCGAGATTATGATCGCGCGGTGCGGCCGCTCGGTGGCGCCACCGTGCAGTGCGCGCGTGCGCTGGTAGATGCTGGGATACGTACATGTAGACGTCGGGCCATCACATCAGTTATCACTCATGACACGCGCGTATTGTGCATGTGCGCTGTAGACGTGCACTTTGTTTTATTGACGACACTGCAGTTATGTAACAGAAAATAAAACCACTTGAAATAACCGACTCGCGTTTGTGTGAATGAAATGTTTACTTGAATGCATGCGACACGATCTGTTATCATCTTCACCGTCATCATCGTCATCACCATCTTCAGCAGCAGTAGAAGCAACAGCAGCAGTACCGCCATCGTATCAGTAACATTATCAACTTCATCATCTTTCAATCACTCAATCATAATTATCTTTGTTGTTGTCATCATTATCATCATCGCTGTCACCAGTAGGACCTAAGTGTGATGTACTTAATTGAAATAATAATAAATGCTACGTGCAAAAACGACACGATTTCAACGATATATATATATATATATA